GATTCCCATCTGAGCATTTTAGCAGGTCGATCATTTTTTAACCCTGTCTGTCGAGTGACTGTTTAGCTTGACGTCTGATATATATATATATATTTATATATTTACATATATATATATATATATATATATATATATATATACTAAACTGCTTTCTAACTGTCTTCGTTGTCAGTGCCCATTCTGTGACCTCATGAAAACGATGAAGAAAGGAACTGTTTTTGTCACACTCTCACTTACCTTCATGGACTCGCCTGTCGTGGCTCACGACGGGAAGGCCGTTGTGTGTTTAGGGTCCAGGAAACAACAGATAGCATCTCTGCTAGTAGAAGCTAACTTTTAGCATTAGCAACTCCACCACACAGCAGAACTCTTCCATGCTTGTGTTGTTTGTGGAGGTAAAACACCAAAGTTGCAAATCAGTAGTAGAGTGAATTTTTCTAAGCAAAATTCCTTAAAAACAAACAACAGATATTTCTGGGGTTCAAAATCTTTATAGATTGTAATCATGCCTTTTATCAGTAACTTGTAGAATGTGTGTGATGTATGTGTTAACAGATGTGGAATTGCTAGCTTCTCAGATCACTCACCTGTTTTGTTTAATGGTGATCTGGCTTCTGTTCCTCGTACTGTGTTGGAGCTAGCTGTGTAACTAACTAACTTTTAATGCCTGTTCAGTGGTTTGTGGCAAGAAAAATACATATCTACACCTGCAGCAGAATTAATATATGTAAAATGAATGGTGACCTTTACAGTGGTCCTCAGTCTTGGTACGAAAAACGTGGAGCTTCACCGGCACCCTTCCAAAACCAGAAAGCTAAACCACAAGCCCACCTGGTGCCATTACACCTGCAGCTCGGGAAACAAAGACCAGGCAGAACTAAACCCAATTAGCCAACTAAAGCAATGACAACTAGAGGAGTCTGATCAGATCTAAATCTGGATTACAGAAATCACAAAAAGACTGCAGGCGATTGTGTTTTACGTGGTTCATTGCCTTTTTTATCCATCCGTCCATCTTTAGTTCATGTAAAATTATCCTAATTCCATCTAGGGGTGGGCAATATCATGTCATTGACAATATTACTAGTAATTATTTACTTATCATGTTGAGCTAATTTAATGATGTCATTTCATCCACTACCCAAATCATTTGGATCATCAGCACAAAGTCTTTAAAGTTATCAAAGCAATCATGGCTGGAATCTCAGTTTTAATTCACACCAGCCAGTAGGATAAAATACGTTTGAGGAACTTTGACCCCTCCTGGCTTCTGTACCTGCAACCTGGTTATGGGGAGGAGGGGCTTGGCTCGTCTCTGCACCTAAACGGGAAAATCACACCGGGGAAGCGGTGAATTAAAGCGTTAGAGACGTGTGAGTCACAGTAGCAAGCCCGGCTTGCTGTGACAGAGAGAGAGAGAGAGTGGCGAGCGAGTGAGCCTGTGGCTGATTAGTGAAATAAAGACCAAAAACATCCGGGGCTGAAGCCCCATCATAATCGGCTGGCAACGTGGCTGCTATGGATACTGTTGCTCCACTGAAAGAAACAACCTAAAGCCAAGTCAAACCACGGACATACTCGCTCCATCAGACAGAAGTGCAGGAGACTGGAGACTTGAAAGTGTGAGAGATGCATGGTTCCAATATCAGAAACCTGCCAGAGGTGCTAGAAATAGGTTTTTGCTTGTATTATTTCAGCTAATTCGGACTATCAACACGCCTTATATTGCCTCCTGCACCCCTGTTCTGGTCACTCTTGCCCATAGGCTTTTCTATACCCTGTCTCGAAAAAAAACTGTGGCTTCTATGAAATCTTCTGGCCCCCAAGTGATATAGTTCCTTTGATTAGCCAAAATGTACGGGACATAATTAATGGTTTCAATCACACTGTTGTACAGCCAATTCTGAAAAGACCAGGGGCCTCATTCATCAAAACGTTTGTACGACCGCTCCTATATTCCTTGCTACAAAGGAAATGTTGGATGTGTGTACTCCTGATTCATGAAACGTGCGGTGGTCTCTCATATGCACATTCCTCTGCAGTCGCCTGATGATCAATCCCACCTGTGCGTACCCAGGTGCTCGTATCCGTTCACCCTCATTTACATACAGAAACACCCTCAATTAACCATATTTGGTCACACTATGTCCTCAGCGCGTGAGGAGATTCTCTGTTTTTTTTTTCTCTGAAAAAAATAAAAATAAACTATGTTGACGGCGAGTTGAAAGACAGGCTGCCGAAGTGCAAAAGAAAGTTGTAGAGGTTATAAACGCGGTCAGGACAGAGGAGAAGTGAGGCTGGAGGAGAAGCGGGGTGATGTGGGTGTGTTTGGAGGACTTGGTCAGAAGCCGAGCACAGGCGTTCTGAACCACCTGTAGACGGTTCAGGGAGGTTCTGCTCAGACACGTGAAAAGAGAGTTACAGTAGTCTAAGCGTGAGGAGATGAAGGTGTGGAGAACTGTCTCAAGTTCAGAGCGGGACAGAATGGGACTCAGCTTAGCAACGTTCCTGAGATGGAAGAAGGAAGAGCCAACAAGAGAACTGACATGAGAATCCAGGGTGAGAGCTGGGTCAAAGGTCACACCAAGATTCCTGATAGAGGGTTTGGAGTGGGAAGCAAGCTGACCAAGAGAGTCTTACTTTAGGAACCATCGTTAATGGTGGAGCGCTGCAACAAGCTGGCTTATGTATATGCATGAGATCCACAAGGCACTTTGCATTGACCATTTATGGCCGATAGTGGGCGTGGTGAGGGAGGCGTGTGATCCAGAAACACCTGAGAACATTTCTAGTTAGTCTCTGATTTATAAAGCAGAGATTGCGTGAAGCTGTGCATACTCCATGTTTTATAGGTCACAAGCCTACTTGGCGTAAGTACATTTTTTTTGCTGAGCATAAGTACATGTAACAATTAAAACATATTAATTATGACCGAAAATTATGAAATATCAATCTGATTGATCTTTGAATGTTTAACCAGAAGATTCTAGGGTTCTTTGCTTCTTCAGGGACCATAAACACACTTCGTATTACTTCAGACAGAGTCAGTATATAGTTTATAAAATGAATTTAATTATTTATACATGACAGGATATGAATAATGAGATGTGGTGTGGTGGATGTGAGGTGTTGTGATGGAAGCTAGATGTTGTAACAACCGTTCTTTGTATCTGAGAGAGATTGTGAAATCTGGGTGTAAACGAATTAGTTGTTTGTTATAAACTAGAGAGTTGTTTATTAAAAACAGCATCAGACGCAATCTGTCATGTCAAGTCTACGCACCCTTCGTGTGGGGGTTCTTGTTCGATCCGGTGGGGTGTTGCGGGTCACTGCTAGTGGAGCGAACTCTGACATCAGGAACCCGTAGACAGTTCCGATTGGACCCGTCCAGTCTGAGATCTCTCGAGGTGAAGGCCAAAAGCTGGAACGCTTATTTGCGTTTAAGGTTGATGTTTGCTTGGCTTGTCTGGTTTCAGCCGCAGCGTTGCAGAGAGGCTTGGACAGGGGGTCAAAGGAGAAGATGGTTTCAAAAGAGGCTTCTTTCTTGATTTGGCTGGTTCGAGGGTCAGCGAGAAATGGAATTACTCTGGAAGTCATTCTTGTTTTAATAAACTACTTTGTTATGATTTCTGGCCAAGTTTGGCTAATCAGAATTTGACACGTTTCTGAGTATTTACCAACGTCCCCCAGAAAGCCACGCCTCCTTCAGATACAAAATTCTTAACATTAGTATGTATCTTATTGTAATGTGTATGAGTGTAAACAATGATTAACTTGGGGCGACGGTGGCACAGGAGTTAAACGCTCGCCCCGTAATCGGAAGGTTGCAGGTTTGAGCCCCACTCAGTCTGTCGCTGTCGTTGTGTCCTTGGGCAAGACACTTAACCCACGTTGCCTGCTGGTAGCGGTCGGAGGGACCGGTGGCGCCAGTGCTCGGCAGTCTCGCCTCTGTCAGTGCGCCCCAGGGCAGCTGTGGCTACATCGTAGCTCATCCCCACCAGCGTGTGAATGTGTGTGTGAATGGGTGAATGGCTGATTGTGTTGTAAAGTGCCTTGGGGGGGTTCCAGGACTCTAGAAGGCGCTATATCAAATACAGGCCATTTACCATTTAATTTACCATTTAACTTGTTAAATCAAACACTTACTGATTTGTGATATAAATGGATCGTTGTAATGGCCCTTCTGATATTATCGTATGTTTGTCTGTTACCAATGAAGCCTGTTGGATCCTCTTCTATCAGCGTGGGCATCAATATACTTAACCTCTTGACCCAAATCAGCAAATAGTTGATAGTCTATATTTAACATGCTAATTAGTCTGTAGCCCTTGGTATCGGTTACATCTTTCCCGGCCTTTGCTATAACGGCTATATAAGCCTCCTGCCAGGATGGTGGGAGCACCCCCCCCCCCCCCCCACACACACACACACAGTAATTTAGATTATTTGTCCCCTTTAATGATTTTTGCTTCTAAACCCTTAAATACACTCTTCTCCTTTTGACAGTTTAGCTGTGCAGCAGCTCCAGATATCAGTTTCAGAATTCAGCATATGCCTCTAATTTCACACTTTAGCTAATTGTAAAAATGTAATAGTCAAACTAGTCCTATTCAAATACCGGGTGTTTAAACACTTCAGCTGTCCAGCTTTTTTAAACTATGTTCAGAGGTGTCAATTTTCTGCTGTTTAGAATTGTTTCTCCGTTCTTCAACTACTTTTGGAGCATTATTACACTTGTTTGTTATTTTTGCTTCTTAATCGTTGAATACATTTAGCTCAGTTTGCCAGTTTTACATAGTTTCAGCTATCAGTTTCAGCTATTCAGCATTCAAACAGTATTTCTGCAAGAAATGCAATTGATGTGGTTTACACTTTCTTGTTCTTTTCTTACACCGTTTAGTAAAAAACTGTTTTTTGCCTCACATGTAAAAAGTATCTCGGGTGATCTCTGATATTTGTTTAAAAACATCTGAATGATTTTCCTCCTCCTCCTCCACCAGACCCTGAAGTCTCTGAAGGTGCGAGTGTCAGTAATCGGCTTGTCGGCTGAGGTCCGGGTGTGTACAGTACTGACCAGAGAGACGGGCGGCTCGTACCACGTTATCCTGGATGAGAGCCACTTCAAGGAACTACTGATGCTACACGTGAAGCCTCCTCCTGCCAGCTCCTCATCGGAATGCTCTTTAATACGTATGGGTCAGTATACAGATGATTTGTAAATACATATGGTCCTCTTTCTGTACATCCAGTAGAGCAGTGTCTGCCAACCAGGGAAACATTTTTAATTTTCCAGGTGATTGTATCAGTCGTTTCTGCATAAACAGCTCGTTAACATCAATTACCTCAAATGCAGTTCATTTTTAACACATGAATTCAAGTTTATTTATAAAGCGTCAAATCACGACAAGAGTCACCTCTAGGCTCTTCACACAGTAAACATTCCAATACAGGTCAGTTCATTAAGCCAAAAAGATAAAAGTTTCCTGTATGAGGAACCCAGCAGGTTGCATCGAGTCACTGACTAGTGTCAGTGACTTTACAGCAATCCTCATACTAAGCAAGCATGCAGCTACAGTGGAGAGGAAAACTCACACACACACACACACACACCCCCCAACCAAGTAGTGTTTCTATGGTTACATTGTGATGTATTAATAAATATTCTATTTGGCGAGAGATAAACTTTGTTGTATTTATCCTAGTGGATCTATAATTAAACGGATAAACTAGTAGTAGCACGTCCAACGTCAAGGAAAGCAAAAAGTTATTATCAGGAGAGGGAGAGTGTTTAAGTGGTTAGCAGCAGTGTGCTAGACGATGGCCCCCTCCATGAGGCCACCACAGCTCAGCAGAACATCATTGTAGCTTCTTCTGGGGAGAAAAACACTTAGAGAGAATAAAGTTAACAGCTGAAATAGCAGGAAATGATACAGTTAAAGAGCAGACTGTAGAAGAAAGTAGTCAAGTGTAGAAAGTGGTCAGTGTGTCCTCCAGCAGTCTAAGCCTATAGCAGCATAACTACAGAGATGACTCTGGATAATCTATCCTATTTAGATGGAGGCATGTTGGAGGCAGGGCAAGGGAGAGCCGTCTTTACCGACTGTACACTCCACCTCCCTCTACTCCCCCACTTGTCCAGATCTAGGCTAACATCAGATTTTAACCATAGGCCCTATCAAATAAACATGTTTTAAGCCTATTCTTAAAAGTAGACAAAGTGTCTGCCTCACGGACTAAAGCTGGGAGCTGGTTCCACAAGAGAGGAGCCCGATAACTAAAAGATCTGCCTCCCATCCTAAATTTAGATATTCTGGGAACCACCAGTAGACCTGCAGTCTGAGAGCGAAGTGCTCGGTTAGGAACGTATGGAACAATCAGATCACTGATGTATGATGGAGCCTGATTATTAAGAGCTTTGTATGATGAACAAACATCCAAACTGTTTTTATATCTCCTGTGATTTAGTTAAAACAAATTTCTCTTCATAGTTTTAGCCTTTTTTCCCTTTTATTATTAAATCATTGTGGCAAAAAAGCAGAGAAAAATAATTAACATCTCACCTTATTTAATATTGTCGACAAAAACCCAGAAAAGCATCATGTTGCTTGCCGTTATTCTCTGCTGAATCTCAACTTCTGTAAGCAAAATAACCTCCTGAAAAAATGTTAAATCAGTCAGGAAAACTGGAAGAAATGTTATTTCTGTTTTTACATTTTCACTTCAGTTCAGAATTTTGTGTTTTCGTCACGTTTAGCTTGTATTTTACATAAAATATCTTCATCTATATTCATTATATCATTTTTTGTGTTGCATTGTATAGAAAAATAATCATAACATGAAAATGTTTTGGAAGGTTAGGGTGGTGCAGATCTGGAGCTCTGGAAAGTTTCTGCATGGAGTTTTTCTTGAAGCCACATGAGGCATGCAGGCGCGTTGCAAGCTTTTCAAAAGTGTGGGGGATGTTGTCTGTGCCTAAAATAATTTGATGTTATTCATCTTGTTAGTTTAATTTCCATAATAGCGGAGCAGGTGCGAATTTTAGACGCGTCACGCATGTCAAAGTCATTTATTGTCATTTCTACCACATGTGCAGGACATACAGAGAAACGAAATTAGAGTTTCAGTACACACAATTCAGAGATCAGACATACGTGGGCAAGACACATGACAGGAATTGGTGACTGCGGTCATTCGCAACACGAGTCACGCTACCTTAATAGATGAAAAGGGAATTACATGAGGATAAGTTAGGGGAGGGAAAAAAAGGCATACCAGAGTTACTCCCGACAGGGGGCACTATGCAAAAAAACCACCTCAAACATATAAGCACGAACTTCAACATTCACAACATGAGACTCCGTTAAGCCGGGCATACACTGTGCGACTTTTTCACTTTTTTGAGCCGATTTTCCAGTCGTGCAAGAATCCACGAGATCAGGGCGAGTTTTGCGCCGAGCGGTCGTGTAGTGTACGGGGGGTTACGAGAGGCGATTAGCACCACGTGACCAGCTACCGATCAGCCATCGTGAGCTCGCACAACCTTCTGGCGTGTTTAATATTTTGCTCGTCCCTCGTGAGGGAATCGCACGGTTGAAGCAGCGCTGCGAGCAGCTGCGACCCAAAAAGTATTAGAACCGCTCACGGCGCATGCGCAATCCTGCATCAACACCGCTCGCCCGCTATCTCCCTAATAACACACGCTGTTCGTTTTTGTTTCTACACGTTTTTTACTCACAAAGATTGTCAAGAAAGCGTGTTTGTCGTGTTCATGTCAAATTAAACTGATCACAAAACACAGATTTACTTTCTTTATTTCGTTTTCCTCATCCAACCCCCATAAATCCCCGTGTGTCCTCCTGCAGCACTCCCGAAGGACAACAGGCAAAACAAAAAAGTCTGACATGTTGAGTAAAAACTGCTATTTTTAGCATATTTTTAGGGCCGACGTGTTGCTACCAGACGTGCAGTGTGAGCAGTCAGGTCGCATCCGAGAACTGGGTCGTACAGTGTGAGCACACGACTCGTGAGATCTGTCCTGCGAGGAAGTCGTACAGTTTGAGCTGAAGCTGAGTGCTACGAGTGAGAAAGTCGCACAGTGTACGCCCAGCTTTTTTGGGGGGGTGGGGGGGGCTGGGATCCTGTTTCCCCAGGGCGTGCAGCCATGTGTGGCGCTCAGCCAGCTGTATCCACAGGAGGGAGAGAGATCTTGGGAGGAGCACAGAGCACATTTGAGTTCCTGCAGGTTGAAGGCCTCGCTATGCAGAAGTCCACAAGCTGCAGGCGGGGGGGTAGGACGGGTTTCCACAGCATCTGTCTGCATTCCTTCCTTCGTGGGGGTTGCTGTTAGCAGCTTCAAGGCTGCCTTGGCGTCAGATTAGGATTACAAGACTGTGTTTGGGTCAGGCAGGGATAATTTTCCCCTCTGCCTTCAGTCTGTAACTGGTCATTCCAGTCCTTCAGTGAAGCCAATTCGGGTTATTAAACATCTCCACACCGTCCGGTGACCCTCTCCGAGATGACTTCCATTTTGCGCACTAACACCGGTAACGCAGCTAAGACATTGTCCAGCTTGCGATTCACCTCGAGCAACGTCCCAGTCTGTGAGGTCTCCGCCCGGACGGTGCTGTCCAAGGGTGCGGGTCACCCTCCAATTGCTCCCATCTTCCCAATTTTCCGGAAAACCAGATATCCTCCCACTCCAATCAGAAGAAATCCAGTGATCATCAGGCCAAATATCCACATATCTTCGACGTCCTCAATGGACAGCTGAGAGAGACAGATGATATTCCACTGCTTCCAGGAATCGAGCGCATATCCCGCTGCGTGTGTCCCTTGCGGGCGAGTGGGAGCCCCCTCCTCCGTTCTCATCGTAGAAAAAATCTTATCAATCGTGTTGAATGACCAATTAATTAAATCCATTTCTGAAAAATAGGGATTTCCAGAGGAAATGCAGAGAAGCGCTCTGTAGGCAGACAGGACAAAAGAGCCTTGGGAAAAAAGATAAGGGAGCAAAGCAGAAGCGTCTGTGCTCTGTGAGTGAAAAAAAAACATGTTTAAACTGTTCAGAATACAAATCCAGGCTCTGTCTCGTTAGATTGGTGTAACTAAAGTTTGTACTGAATGAAACTTTACATTAAACCATGTTGAAAAGAAAAGGATCCGATTAAATCGTTTCCCCCTCATTTACAGTCACGGAGTACAGCGCAGGCTGTCGTGGCTCTGGGGGTAATTCTTTCAAAACAACCAACATCCTTGAGTTTATCCGTCAAAATAAACAGTCTAATGGAAATATCTGTAACCTGCCATTTAACGGTTTTGCCTTCTTGTGAAGATTGTTGCAAAGAGAAACAACTAAACTTGATTAACCCCAGAGCCATGCACACTGCGCTGTACTGACTGTAAATGAGGGGGAAACGATTTAATCGGATCCTTTTCTTTTCAACATGGTTTAATGTAAAGTTTCATTCAGTACAAACTTTAGTTACACCAATCTAACAAGATGAATAACATGAACTTATTTTAGGCACAGACAACATCCCCCACAAAGCTTGCAACGCGCCTGGTGCTACTATCATAATATAATAATGCTAAAATGCTCAGATGGGAATCATTTCTTGATTTATTTAGTTACATCCACAATGTCCTGTGTGTGAGGTTTACAACGTCAGAACACCTGCATGAGACAGGTGTTAATTACAATCTGCCAGAATGACTCGCCACCTTCAGATTCCTCCAACACCGTTAAAAATGATCAAATACGGAACATATCGGCGTGCGCAGGCCAGAGTGCTGAAGCTCGGCGCATTGTTATTATGAAGCTAGGGCACATGCGGAGGACACACGCGTGCAAAAATATACTTGTTTACAATTACATTTATTGGGCCCACTTACTTTTTCTTAGGCCCACCCACAAATGAGTTTCTACTCTAATGGTGACATATGACAGACTTCTCTGAGCTCCGCAGCCATTACACTTTTCACCTCGCGCACCCCCTAGCGGCAGCTCGCGCACCCCCTAGCGGCAGCTCGCGCACCCCCTAGCGGCAGCTCGCGCACCCTCTAGCGGCAGCTCGCGCACCCCCTAGCGGCAGCTCGCGCACCCCCTAGCGGCAGCTCGCGCACCCCCTAGCGGCAGTTCGCGCACCCCCTAGCGGCAGCTCGCGCACCCCCTAGCGGCAGCTCGCGCACCCCCTAGCGGCAGCTCGCGCACCCCCGGGGGTGCGCGCACCACACTTAGGGAATCCCTTGTTTATATGAATTACCTACATGTTAATACTCTGTAGTAATGTGTTGTGTACGTTTAACAAGTTCATTCTGTAGCTTAAAACATACATGAAACCATCTAAAGTTAACATGTAAGTCCTGAAAGCTTCTAGAATAAACAAAGTTACTTTACCTGAAAATGGTCGTGAACAAACGCTGCTGATGGACGTGAAGCTGCTGTAGCTCCTTAATATTCCTGCTCCGTTTTCGCTAGCTTAAGCATTTTTCCTTTGCGTGTAGCTGCCGCCACGGCTGTGACGGGACCTACGGGCCACCGTAGAGGTGAAGGCTAGACTGTCCGAATTCAGAGCCGCTGGTTCTGGTTTTAGCGGTCTAGCAAGGACCCGGCCTTTCTAGACCGGCGAGGACCCGTACTCATAAGCATCCTACCCGTGGATTCGGACACACCCACCCTGAACCAAAACAGCTACCACAGCATTCTCCAGAACCATGCACTGCCTTCTGGAATGTGCCTAGTTGGTCAGGGGTTCATCCTACAGCAAGATAAGGACCTAAAACAAAAGTCCAAGCTATGCCAGAACGACCTCAGGAAAAAAGAACAAGATGGTGAGCTTGTAAACGTGGAGCGGCCAGCACGGTCTCCAGACTTAACCCCCATGGAGCTGGTTTGGGATGAACTGGACAGAGGAGTGAAAGCAAAGCAGCCTACAAGTGCCACACATTTATGGGAACTTCTGCAGCAGATATGGAAGAACTTTCTGAAGAATATTTTAGTTCTGTTGTAGAAATAATGCCACAAGTGTGTTCAGCGATCAACTGTCACTAGGCGCTTCACGTAAACAAAAACTAAACACAAAGTATAAAAAAGATTAAAAATAAGTTTAAAATAAGAATAAATATTGTGATTAAAATAATAATCATGTAAGGAAAGGGAGAGAGAAAATCAATAAGAGAGAAGTCAGTGGATCCCAGGAAAGGCGGAATATGGAGAGGGTGGTGAAGAGGGGTTAGCCAGCGTGAACATGTGAGTTTTCAGATGAAGTGGGGCGACAGACCGCTGATTATTCATGCACTCCAGGCAGCTGGCTGCGTCCTAAAGAAAGTGAAGAGACAGATCCACCATGTTCTTTATTTTTAATTAACTTTATTTTAACATTTAACAACAAGTCTAGTATAAAAACAAACAGCACATCCACCCTAAAATACCTGGCAGGGGTTTGTTTTGCCTCGGCCCCCAAAATCCCATGATACGTCCCTGGGCGTGGGACCATGTTTTGAAGGTGATCTGAAATTGTATCAAATAAATAAATATTACATGCTGATAAATGATCGCTGTCTAAAGTTAAAAACGTGTAGTGGGATAAATCTACCTACAGAGCTTTCTTTAGTGTTCTTGGTTTTATTTTCTGGTTTTCCTGTCGTCTCTGATCTTCCTGCTTCTCCTCCCAGTCCTCCAGAACATCTGCTTCCTCCTGTTTCACCTCACGAGTTACTTTCTAACTAAGCAGGTCAAACGGACCGACTGACCGCACAAATAGCGGAGTTTGCTGCGCCGCCCGGCCGCGTCAGTGACGTGGAGTCACCGGACCACGTGATGAGCGCTGCAGCAGCAGAGCACGTGTGTGCGCATCAGGCTCCAATAAAAGACAGAAATAAGTAGCGAGAACACGAACAGACATGAAGGAGTGTGTATTAATCATCATTTTTGGCTGGCGCCACTTTGAGAATGTGTGCCTGACGCAGCGTCTGGAGCACGCGAATAATCTGCAGTGTGCCGCTGAGAAGAGTCCATATAAACCATACAGTCTAGGCTCTCTCTGGGTGTGTATGTTCAGGGCTTCAGGGGAGCCCACAAGCTTCTAGGAGAGGAGGCGCTAGCTTCGAGTCTGTTAGGGAAGTGACGACCCATCACGATGGAGTCTGAAACCACATGATTGGGACAGATTTCAGATCATGTGATCAGATCGGGACATCTCTAAAAGCAAGTTCATTAAGCCAATCAGTAAAAAGTTTCCTATATAAGGAACCCAGCAGGTCGCATCGAGTCACTGACTAGTGTCAGAGTCTTTACAGCAATCCTCATACTAAGCAAGCATGCAGCGACAGTGGAGAGGAAAACTCCCTTTTAACAGGAAGAAACCTCCAGAGAATCCTGGCTCAGTATAAGCAGCCATCCTCCACGACTCACACACACACACACACACACACACACACACGCTACGTTTCGCCGACAGCTGCCGGCTTCTAGGTAAACTAGTAGTAGCACATTCTATGTAAAAAACTAAAACGCTATTTTCAGGAGAGGGAGAATGTCTGAAAATCAGCAGAAGTTCACCTTCCTCCAGCTCGTCTTTTACAACAAAGACCCTCTCCGGCTGATGGTACTTCTAATCACTGCTCAGATTAGCGCTGCTGTCTTTATCAGGTCCTAGTTCCAGTACAGCTCCCACAAGCCATGGCTCAGATAGTACACACTTGATGTACGTCCCGTGTTTCCTCAGGGTTCCCGCAGCACACTGTTGCTTCTCTCTCCGACCAGGATGCCAAACCTTCCTTCAGCATGTCGTAAGTACAGAAACTTGTGTGGTGTTGAACCAACAGCTGTTTACCAGTAGAACTTCTCATGTGTCCCAGTCACCTGGACAGCAGCAGCGGGGCAGGTCTATCTCTGGGAGGATACTTCTGCCCACAGTGTCATGCCAAGTACACCGAGCTTCCTGTAGAGTGCAAAGTCTGTGGTAGGTGTGCATGTGTGTGTGTGTGTGTGTGTGTGTGTGTGTGTGAGAGTGAGAGAGAGACACAGTAGCCTGACATTTACATTGTGTCCTAGGGTTGACTCTGGTGTCTGCCCCCCATCTGGCCAGATCCTTTCATCACCTCTTCCCCCTCCAGGCTTTTCTAGAGAGTCCCACTGAGAAGCTGCTGAAGAACAGGTAGAAGTGTACATGTAAACCTGCTCCCATTCACTGTGATGCTGCTGGGAAGCTTAACGTGTCACTGGTTTCAGGTTCTGTCAGGCATGTCAGAGGGAACTGGAGGATAAAACTGTGAGTAGAACATCTGGACGTTGGGTTATAGTAGATCCTGTTCATGTCTTGGTCCTCCTTCACCCTGAACTTTATTTACTCAGATTACAGGTAAAACATGTCTGCTCTACGGGAAAAACACATTGTTTGCTCATCACATCTTTTCATTCACGATTCAGCTCAGGGTTCTGGCAGGAGTGAGGGACAGCAGCAGCTCAGGAAGTAGAGCGGGTTGTCCAGTAACCGGAAGGTTGCAGGTTCCATCCCGGCTCCCGCCAGAGAATGCTGCTGTTGTGCTCTTGGGCAGGACACTTAATCCACCATGCCTGCTGGTGGTGGTCGGTGGGACCGGTGGTGCCAGTGCTCAGCAGCCTCGCCTCTGCCAGTGCGCCCCAGGGCAGCTGTGTCTACATCACCACCAGCCTGTGAATGGGTGACTGTGTTGTGAAGTGCCTTGGGGGGTTGCAGAACCCTAAGAAGGCGCTATACAAATACAGGCCATCTGTATATGTGGTTGATGACGGGGAGCAGCTGAGGGCAATGGTGGCACGACTGGAGGAGTGACGGGCCGGCCCTGTAACTGCAGAACTGCAGTGTGTGGTGGCCGAAGGCGGGTACCTTGGCGGTCTGATCCTCGGCTACAGAAGCTGGCTCGGTATGTGGAATGCCACCTCTAGTGGGGGGGAGGAGCCTGAGTTGGTGTGTGAGGTTGAGAGGTTCCAGCTAGATATAGTCGCACTCACCTCCACGCATGGCTCTGGCTCTGGAACCAGTTTTCTTGAGCGGGGCTGGACACTGCCACTCTGGAGTTGTTCCACTGAGAGGCGCCGTGCAGGCGTGGCCATACTACCATACTAGTTCCCCCATCTTGGTGCTTGTACGTTGGGGTTTACCCCGGTGAATGAGAGGGCAGCCTCCCTCCACCTATTAGAGGGTGACACAGGAATGGATGGTTTTTGCTTTCCCAACCCACTCCCGTTGTAAATAAATGCTCTGGTCTCAATCACAGCAACATGATTCCCACTCCCTCCCAGTCCCAGCAGACGTTTTTAAGGTGTGGCGATTCCAAACAAACAAAAACAACAATGACGACGTGTAAGGTGTTTCCGCTCCATCTCTGCCAACTCTGTAAAACTTCAGACTTCCCTGACAGCGTTTCCACGGTGATACAGGCATTTTCCTCCCTAATGTGCTCCTCCAGCTCATCTTTGTTTCTGTCCATGTTGCTCCACATTGCGAGATGACGTTCAGCGCTGGTGAGTGAGAGTCTCACCAGCCATTTTAACCACGAAGGAACTTTACGTGATATTCATTTTTTATTGTGACAGTCTGATGAAATAATAAAAAAAGAACCGTCAATATGATTTTCTGCAAAATTCAGGAAAGGAGGATTAGACAGTCCCTCTGCTTAGAAAATAAGCTAACATCAGAAAATCAGAAGTGTATGAGATTGTATTAGGAACGAATATGTTTGACATGTTTTCACGATCACTGTAATCAGAAAGGTCGGACAGAACTAAATGTAAATAAAACGGCACTTTAGTTTAAAAGACATGAGTTTTATATTGAACAGAAATCTAAATGTATTTCATTCCCAGTCTTACCCACTCCCACTGATTATTTTTCCTGTTTTGTCCCAGTAACATGGTTATAAATAGCTTGACTCCCATTTCACGGAAATCTCGCACGAATCACGTGACCCACTGGATCCCGAAAAATTGTCAGCCTCTGTTGTGCATGGAGGAAAAAGAACCCGGCATTCCAAGAAAAACACCTTTTACCTACAGTAAAGCATGGTAGTGGTTCCATCACTGGCCTCTACCGCCTATGTGCATGCTGGTTCTGACCGTTGTCGGTGCTTATGCATCAAACTGCAGCTCAGACTACCCACCCTTTTTGATGTCCTTGGAGGAGGTGCTGGAGAGCACTCCTTCGAGTGACTCCCTCATTCTGCTGGGGGACTTTTAACGCTTACATGGGCAACGGCAGTGAGACCTGGAGAGTTGTGGTGGAGAGGAACAGAGCTGTCAACTGACCACTACCTGGTGGTGAGTCGACTTTGATGGTGGGTGAGGATGCTGGTCATACCTGGCAGGGCCAAACATGTTGTGAGGGTCTGCTGGGAATGTCTGGCGGAGTCTCTTGTCAGAAGAAGTTTCAATTCCCACCTCCGAAAGAACTTCGAAAATGTTCCGAGGGAGGCAGGAGACATTGAGTCCGAGTGGGCCGTGTTCTGTGATTCCATTATCAAGGCGGCCGACCGGAGCTGTGGCCACAGGGTCATCGGTGCTTATCGTGGTGGCAATCCCCAAACCCGCTGGTGGACACCGATGGTTAGGGATGCAATCAAGCTGAAGAAAGCATCCTATCTGTCTTTTTGGCCGTTAGGAGTCCTGAGGCAGCTGTTGGGTACTAGCAGGCCAAGCGGAATGTGACTCGGGCGGTCACAGGAATCTTGGGACCACATAGGTCAATGCGCGTTTGCGAACTATGGACCTCGTACATCACCGCGTGCTCCATAAACTGAACTGTATGGCCGGCGGTGAGATGCCTTTGTGTCCCCTCGTGGAGTTAACCGCCCACCGACCTTCCTCCTTCTACACTACTACCTCTCGCATGGACGACATCTTCATTGCGTACCACCTGCGTGAGTGGTTTCTTCTCGTTATGCGCGTTGGGGACTATCCCGTTTCCTATCCTCTTTGTGCCTGACCAGGATCAAAGACCAAAGGCGCCAGGATCCAAGACAAAGACCAAAGACAAAGGCGTCCAAGGAGACCAACGTCCTAAGGGACAAACCCACCTGTGCTTCTAACAATCAAGTCGACCTACGTTCATGAGGGACAAACCCATCTGTGCTTCCGACGATCGAGCTTTGGGCGCGATCCCCGAAACCAAAAGGGGGAATGTTGAGGGTCTGACCTCATGAGGAAATTACTATGCAGTGATTTTCTCCAAAATGACTGTGCTTAAATTGCTCTGGAAAGCAAATAATCACATCAGCGCCAAGAAACTTCATTTCCCATGATGCTTTGCACACGGAAGCATTGGGTGATGTCACCGCCTAGTACCAGAAACACGTTCTGCGCATGTGCGGGAAGCCGTGGAGCTTTTCCCGCGAACTAAGACCATAAATCTTCAGCAGAGACAAAGAAACCTTGTTCTTTTGCCCAGGATACCTGGCGGTAAGGACACGCTTGTCGAACGCTCCGACAACTTGAGCACGCGGAAGCTCTAAGTGCCAAGTTGAGCCCACGCAACCGCTGGAAACTACACTCAACTCCATCGGGACCTGACTGGGAACGAGCGGAGCTCCATTCAGCTCTCAGAGACGCTGTAAGTTGTCAAACTCAGCACAAAAGAAACTTCGTTCTCTTTGTGTCCAGCCCGTGGAGAAACACACGTGGAGCCAAACAACGGAGAAAGCATCAAACCGACGGATGACGCTGAAAACTGCGGAGAAAAACGGAGAACCGTCAAATCATAACAGCGGGGACGCCTTGCTGCTCATCTGGTGATCAGAAAACTCATTTTTTTTCTCTCCTTTTCTTCTCCCGTTTCCTCTATAGTCCAGAATAAGCAATAAAACCGCGCTATTGCTTAAAAGGTAGCTTCGTGTTTTCCTCTTTCGTTCCCAAAACACGTCCGCCGGGTCATTTTGAAAGAATAAACTGCTTATTGATCATCGCTAATATCTTTAGTCGTCAGCTCACACCAGGCTGCCGACTCCTTTTAGATTAAATAATTTACACCCAGAGGATGTCAGTGTTGCCACTGCCTATACCGCTCATCAGTATGTGGCAGACTTGAAAACACACCTCAGAGCTACGTTCGCGCACTCTCAGAAGAAACTGGAGACCAACGTAGAAGGCGCTAAAGCCTACTACGACCAAAAGACAACCAGCCGCGAATACGAGGTGGGTGACAAAGTATTCTACTTTCGGTTCGCCCAACCGGCACGCAAAGCTAAGAAGTTCCTGCCCTGCTGGTCAGGACCATTTGAGATCGTGGCAAAACTCTCCAGTTGCATACAGGTTACGCATCACCAAAGCGAGACAGGAGCCTGTCTACAAATGGGTGCATGCAAACCAAATCAAACCCTACGTCAAACCATCCCCGCGGGTACAGAGACCAGACTCCCCGCAGGAGGTAGACGTAGTCTCGACATAGTTCTATGCATGGAAATGGAAAGGGGGGGAAAGTGCACGTTTAACCCACTAACATGTACTAACCGACAAAGAACCAGGCCCCCCCCCCCCCCCCGCCGTCACTTTCACTAACCAAGAGAAACTCCTTCCTAGACCGCTAACAGGATGTACCTACTAAAACCTTACAGAGTACTCTGGTACCTACACTAGGCTCTGATTAATGAATCTCTACGTGCAATCAAGACTTTGTCTGAAACCATACCTCAGGATATTGTGTACACACGAGTGGTGAGAGATTTGATGTAGGACCTGCTCAGGGAAGTAAGTTCCACGCTGGACAGCTTGGTTGAAAGTCGTATTTCCCCGTACTTGGTACCACTGGACCTGCTCAAAGATGGCTTGACAGCTGCTACCCCTCTACTGTGCACCTTTCACAAATCCACCTAGCGTACAGCCTAAGTAGTGCAATGCCCATTCACGTTGGAAAAAAATTAGAACTCGGTTTCCTGTTAAACGTTCCCATAATTGTGACACCTCACATCTATAGGTTTAGGTCGATGCTGGACATTGGTATTTGAAAGGACGGTAGGCATTTCCACTTTGAACTAGAAACCTGACACTCCATCACCTCAACCTCGAACAGCATGACTCAGAGATTGAGATCATGGACGCTTTCCAGGGTTATAACTTTGCCCTCGATTTAGAAATTGACCAACAATTACTGATTGAAGGAACCAAATTTGTTAAGTTCACACAAACCCCGCGTGAACTTACTTTGACGCCCAAGACGCTACATTGACACAGATTATACAACCTTAATCTGCACATTGGTCGCCCTGGGGATGGGATGGCTCATCACGGCCGTGATTGCTTATTCCGCCTACAGGCGTGTTAAGAAACTCCAAGATAAGATGCACTTGCTCACCTACGGTGTGCCTCGTGACCGCGTTCGGGGTGACTCCAAGCGTGAATGTACCACACCTGTCTAAAGGGGGTGAGCAACATTTTCTTTATTATTTTGTAACCCTAAGAGTAGTTCTCACTTTAGTCTACCTCACATTTTTATCTGAGTGTTGCATTATGTCACATTCTTTATAAGCTACACACTGAATGTATGACCTAAGAATGTATTTTATGAGACCTCAAGGTTGCTATGACTTTTCTTGGATGTTATATGTTTTAATTTTTTTTGGGGTTTTCTGTATTTTTGTTTCTTACTTGGTCACATATTGACTAGTGGTTATGTGCCGGCCCAGCTCAGTCTGTCAATGACTCTGTCTGACGCACCAGCACATTGTAGTACCTCTTAGTTTTATGGTCCTTGTTTTAGCCCAAAGACTGTCCTGATCCACCCTTTGGACCAAAAAGGGGGGAATCTTGGGACCACATAGGTCAATGCGCGTTTGCGAACTATGGACCTCGTACATCACCGCGTGCTCCATAAACTGAACTGTATGGCCGGCGGTGAGATGCCTTTGTGTCCCCTCGTGGAGTTAACCGCCCACCGACCTTCCTCCTTCTACACTACTACCTCTCGCATGGACGACATCTTCATTGCGTACCACCTGCGTGAGTGGTTTCTTCTCGTTATGCGCGTTGGGGACTATCCCGTTTCCTATCCTCTTTGTGCCTGACCAGGATCAAAGACCAAAGGCGCCAGGATCCAAGACAAAGACCAAAGACAAAGGCGTCCAAGGAGACCAACGTCCTAAGGGACAAACCCACCTGTGCTTCTAACAATCAAGTCGACCTACGTTCATGAGGGACAAACCCATCTGTGCTTCCGACGATCGAGCTTTGGGCACGATCCCCGAAACCAAAAGGGGGAATGTTGAGGGTCTGACCTCATGAGGAAATTACTATGCAGTGATTTTCTCCAAAATGACTGTGCTTAAATTGCTCTGGAAAGCAAATAATCACATCAGCGCCAAGAAACTTCATTTCCCATGATGCTTTGCACACGGAAGCATTGGGTGATGTCACCGCCTAGTACCAGAAACACGTTCTGCGCATGTGCGGGAAGCCGTGGAGCTTTTCCCGCGAACTAAGACCATAAATCTTCAGCAGAGACAAAGAAACCTTGTTCTTTTGCCCAGGATACCTGGCGGTAAGGACACGCTTGTCGAACGCTCCGACAACTTGAGCACGCGGAAGCTCTAAGTGCCAAGTTGAGCCCACGCAACCGCTGGAAACTACACTCAACTCCATCGGGACCTGACTGGGAACGAGCGGAGCTCCATTCAGCTCTCAGAGACGCTGTAAGTTGTCAAACTCAGCACAAAAGAAACTTCGTTCTCTTTGTGTCCAGCCCGTGGAGAAACACACGTGGAGCCAAACAACGGAGAAAGCATTAAACCGACGGATGACGCTGAAAACTGCGGAGAAAAACGGAGAACCGTCAAATCATAACAGCGGGGACGCCTTGCTGCTCATCTGGTGATCAGAAAACTCATTTTTTTTCTCTCCTTTTCTTCTCCCGTTTCCTCTATAGTCCAGAATAAGCAATAAAACCGCGCTATTGCTTAAAAGGTAGCTTCGTGTTTTCCTCTTTCGTTCCCAAAACACGTCCGCCGGGTCATTTTGAAAGAATAAACTGCTTATTGATCATCGCTAATATCTTTAGTCGTCAGCTCTGGCCAGGCTGCCGACTCCTTTTAGATTAAATAATTTACAAGTGACCTTTTGTTGTTTGTTAACTTTTGAAGTGTTTGAGTTAAGTTTTACTGTGATTCTAAGCCACTAAGTGTTCGGGAAAGTAGAAAACTTTACACATCCAGGTCTCCTGTTGAATGCGAGGGGAGGGGAAGAGCCCCACATACACTCACAGCTCACTCCCCCCACCTACTCTGGGGAAACAAAGACCCATTCATCTCACACACACACACACACTCACTCACACACACCACACAAACACCTTGAACATTATTTTGAATATACATCCTTTTATTATATCACATGGTTATTATTCATTTATGCCACTGTTTATTCATTTGACAAATTGTTAATTAAACGTTATAAAATTCAGATTTTCGTCTCCAGTAGCTTTGTTGTGTCGAAGAGAAGTCTCTGCTCCAAGGATTCTACGAACTTCAAGAAAGACTGATAAGAGTTTTGGATTCAATTTTTCCCCGGTTAAAGGGGAATGGTGCCCCGTATATCTAAGAATATCTTAATTAATTAATAAATCAGTAAATATTTACATATTTACAGAATTTATTGAAGAATCCAAAAGTAAGTTGAAGCTTACTAATTGTTCGCTCCTAATAACCCCAACAAAAGCAAAATCTGGGAGTGGGAGGAGTTTGGTGAGACCATGGAGCAAGACTTCCATACAGTTTTGAGGAGATTGTGGTCCTACCAACACTGTTTATAGTTGGGATTGTATGACACAGGACATTGTCGATCGGTGGGCAAAATACTTTAAAGACCTCCTCAGTCCCACCGGCACCGCTTCCAGTGAGGAAGCAGAGTCTGGGGACTTTGGGTTGAGCTTTCCAATCCCTGGTGCTGAGGTCAGGGGTGCACGAGATCTGCCCAGAGTTCCTTAAGGCTCTGGATGTTGTAGGGCTGTGTTGGCTGACGCAGCTCTGCAATATCGCATGGACATTGAGGCCAGTTCCACTGGATTGGCAGACCGGGGTGGCGGTCCCCTTATTTAAAAGGGGGACCGCAGGATGTGTTCCAACTACAGGGGGATCACACTCCTGAGCCTCCCTGGTAAAGTCTAATCTGGGGTTCAGGAGAGGAGACGAGGGTCCAGCGGATTCTCGAACCTCAGATTCAGGAAGAACAATGTGGTTTTCATCCTGACTGTGGAACACTGGACCAGCTCTATACCCTTAGGAGGGTCCTGGAGGGTGCGTGGGAGTTCGCCCTACCACTCTACATGTGTTTTGTAGATTTGGAGAAAGCGTACAACCGCGTCATTCGGAGGGCCCTTTGGGAAGTACTTCGGGAGTATGGGGTACCAGGCCCTATGATATGGGCTGTTAGGTCCCTGTATGCCCGTTGCCAGAGCTTGGTCCACATTGCCGGCAGTAAGTCAAGCTCGTTTCCAATGAGAGTTGGACTCCGCCAAGGCTGTCCTTTGTCACAGATTCTGTTCATAACCTTTATAGACAGGATTTCTAGGTGCTGCCAAGGTTTGGAGGGCATCTGTGTTGGTGGCCTAAGGATCAGGGTGTCTGCGGGTCCTTAAAAAGTCTTAAATTTGCTTTTCCAAATTTAAGGCCCTAAAATCCTTAAAAATGACAAATAATCCATAAATACAGTTTCCAAAGGTCTTAAATTACCAAAGACCCAATGAAAGAGATTATTTTAGTTCTATAACATTTTTGTGATTTTCTAGTTGGTGTTCAGCTTTTTTGTGTATGATGTTGGCGTAAGTGGAACCGTACACATTCAGCTGGTTGTGAAAGGGGACTATTTTTAGATGAGCACATTAGCTGATAAAGCTAGTGGGAGCTTGCGCCATGGGGAAGTGGAAGTTTAATCAACACATTCTCACTCTCAAGGCGTCAAAATATGACGCGTGTGACCAAGCCTCAATATATGACGATTCGGGATGCCCCAGCGCGTCAGGAGACGACGATCGGGGACAAACTGGTGACGCAGCGTCCCAGAGCATCGGTATCTGACGCTGGTGCTGAGACGGACTACTTGTGAACTACTTAACCTTCCCCTCACCCCAATCCTAACCTTAAGGTCATAGTTTATGGAGCTTAAAGTTAGGATTGGGGTGAGGGGAAGGTTAAATAGTCGAATAATGTCCGTGTGACCGTGCGCATCAAACAGTGACGCCAGTGGAGCCACGTGTCCCAGCGTGTCCCTGATCGTCATCTCCTGACGCGCTGGGGCGTCCCGAATCGTCATATATTGAGGCTTGGTCACACGTGTCATATTTTGACGCCTCGGGTGTGAGAATGTGTTGGTTTAATGGTAACTGGATGGCTAATCCCACATTTGTGGCGTGGTTAGCACCGGTTCCAGGCAATAGCTGGAAATTATAGCTTAAACTTAATTTTAAAAACAGCTTAAATTTGGTCAAAGTGGCCTTAAAAAAGGTCTTAACAAGTCTTAAATTTGGCTCCCTTAAACCTGCAGATACCCTGAAGGATTGAGTCTCTGCTTTTTGCAGATGATGTGGTCCTGTTGGCTTCATCAGAATGTGATCTCCAGCTCTCACTGGAGCGGTTCAAACACAGTGTGAAGTGATCTGTATGCCACGACAAAACACATCACAGCACAACAGTGGTGGTGATTCTGCTCTGATGCTGGCTTTTTGTCAGACTGAACCTGGAACCGGCTACAGGCAGAAAGCTCTGGAGCATTCAGTGACAGACAAATGCTGAGGTCGTGTTTTTGGATATGCCCGGAGTGACAGGAATCACAACAAAGCATATACTGAAAAGTTGAGGGAAAATACGACCCATGCCAAAGAGTGTCTAACAAGTTTCACCCATCTGAGTTATTCTGAGCAGTGTCATTGGAAAAGGGGCATTAGAATTATCTTCATTAGCCTGGTCCTGATGTCTCTTCTCCATCTGTCTCCAGATGTTTTCCTGTCCCTCCTGTCATCATGTGTTTTGTCTGGACTGTGATCTCTTCATCCACGATTCGCTGCACTGCTGCCCCTGCTGTATTCAAAGTCGGGGGGCTCCATGAAGCTGAGCTGGATCATAACAGACACAGGATCTTCATAGCAGTCCTGTTAGTCTTCAGCCTTCTAGCATTTTCCAGGCCTGGACTTGAAGAATAAACTTTGTTTTCTTCATCCTTTCACACAAAACAATGAAACGGCTGTTTTCATGCTGACTGTGCAGATCTGATCGGATGCACCAGGTTTAATCATTTATTGTATTTTTGTTGTGTTTGTTTATATTGACTGAACACACTTCTGATCAGGAACCAAAAAACACAACAAAACAGGTTTTATACTCGACAGTGCTTTGAGCTTTTATGTTCCACTTCTGTCGTTACCCCTAGAGTTCATGGGTTCTTGTTTCAGCTGTCGCATTGATGTCACTACGATGATGACTTATTTGTTTTCATTCTCAGCTTCACTTGTAAATGCTATAAAATCTTTGTGAATGTTGTTTATATTTGGTCTTACAGGTACTTAAATACTTGTGATTTTTTAATAAAATACTTGAAAGTATGAAGTAGTTTGTCGTTGCACAAAAACATGCTGGATTTGGTCCAATGATGAAGCCTTCTCTCTGGACCGATCATTTTTACAGTTTTTTTAAACCAAAACACGGCATTATGACATCAATAAATCAGGAAATGGTTCACACAAAACATCGTTATCATTACGGTTACAACAACCGGTGTACTATTGGAAACTGATCACGTGGGATTACTGTTGACTTTTCTAGCCTACCTGATTGAATTTTAGATTTTCATTTATTTTGTTTAAATATGTTTATATTTTATTTCATCAAGAGAACTAATACTTGTAATTATGTTACTTAAGTGAGTAGGTTCAAAAAACAGGATGACTGATGCATTTAGTTAGGGGTTTGTATGCATATTTTGAAAGTATTACGGATCGTTTGGAATAGCTTCAGAACCATTTTAATATCATTGCCTTGTCAGAGCAGAACAAGATGGCGCCTGTGCTTGGTTTAGCCGCGGTCACCGGCCACTTTTTCAAACTTTTCTCCACTAACCACCTCTTTTCCAACTTGCTCCTGTCTGCGATCCTCTTCGGTAGTATCCCTGCTACCATCTCCTATGATCGCCAAACTCTTTTGTCCTTCCATTCGTTAACGATTCCCCTCCTGTTCCCTCCATGAGTGGTTTTTATAAACACCATGGATCTAACCCTTCTAATTTACTTCCACTAAATCCAGCTGTTTCTGTAGTTTCTGATTCCTCCACCTCACTAAGCATGGCTCTATTACACACCCACTCTGTTAACAATAAGTCCTTCCTGCTCAATGATCTAATTCTCTCTAAAAACCTGGATTTTCAGTTTCTGACTGAAGTTTGGCAGCAAACATCTGATTATTCGGTCGGATCCCTGGATCAATACAACTACCAGATCTGTCAGGCGTGAGTGCAGAAGAGCCGAGCGTAGATGGGAAAAGGATAAGCTCCAGATTTCCTA